GATCCATTCTTTCTAACTAACAAGTTGATTATGGAAATGGTTTTGTCACGCTCATTCACATGCACTGGCATTGTTTTATTGATCATGTAAAAGAAGGATGCAACATACGGTTAATGAATAAAAGATTTAGAAACGTAACTTTTGTAAAGAAATCATATTTCAAGATATTTAATCTTTCGTACTAGTATGAAATAACGCTGTTTTATATTTAAACGACCTCGTCCTGGATAATGTATGGGTTAAAAGGGTATTCGTGTTTGGAGTTTTGCTATAGCGCGAAGGGGGATCGAACATCAGACCTCACTCTTTCTGGGCAAATGCTCTATCTTCTTGACCACAGACGTAAGACGATAGAAGAGTGGTCACTCATCTGGAACAGTCTGACCATGTGGACATGTGTGCCCACGACACAACAGTGTAAGACCAGCGTTGTATTTTGGCTTAGAAATAAATGTATTTGTTGTTCCTGTACCTGGTGTTCATCATTAAAGGGACAAGACAAGTACTTTTACCCGTATTTGTTGTTCCTTTGCCTGGTGGTCATCATTTAAGGGACAGGACAAGTACTTTTACCCGTATTTGTTGTTCCTTTGCCTGGTGTTCATCATTAAAGGGACAAGACAAGTACTTTTACCCCTATTTGTTGTTCTTTGCCTGGTTTTCATCATTAAAGGACAAGACAAATAGTTTTACCCCTATTTGTTGTTCCTTTGCTCGGTGTTCATCATTAAAGGGACAAGACAAATGCTTTTACCCCTATTTGTTGTTCCTTTGCCTGGTTTTCATCATTTAAGGACAAGACAAGTACTTTTACCCCTATTTGTTGTTCCTTTGCTCGGTGTTCATCATTTAAGGGACAAGACAAGTACTTTTATCCCTTGCCTGGTTTTCATCATTTAAGGACAAGACAAGTACTTTTACCCGTATTTGTTGTTCCTTTGCTCGGTGTTCATCATTAAAGGACAAGACAAATAGTTTTACCCCTATTTGTTGTATCTTTGCTCGGTGTTCATCATTAAAGGGACAAGACAAGTACTTTTACCCGTATTTGTTGTTCCTTTGCCTGGTGTTCATCATTAAAAGGACAGGACAAGCACTTTTACCCGTATTTTTTGTTCCTTTGCTCGGTGTTCATCATTAAAGGACAAGACAAGTACTTTTACCCCTATTTGTTGTTCCTTTGCTCGGTGTTCATCATTAAAGGGACAAGACAAGTACTTTTACCCGTATTTGTTGTTCCTTTTATCATTAAAGGGACAAGACAAATATTTTTTTTGTTGTTCCTTTGCTCGGTGTTCATCATTAAAGGGACAAGACAAGTACTTTTACCCCTATTTGTTGTTCCTTTGCCTGGTGTTCATCATTAAAGGGACAAGACAAATACTTTTACCCGTATTTGTTGTTCCTTTGCCTGGTGTTCATCATTAAAGGGACAAGACAAGTACTTTTACCCGTATTTGTTGTTCCTTTGCCTGGTGTTCATCATTAAAGGGACAAGACAAGTTCTTTTACCCGTATTTGTTGTTCCTTTGCCTGGTGTTCATCATTAAAGGGACAAGACAAGTTCTTTTACCAGTATTTGTTGTTCCTTTGCTTGGTGTTCATCATTTAAAGGACCAGACAAATACTTTTACCCGTATTTCTTGTTACTTTGCCTAGTGTTCATCAATACAGGGACAAGACAAGTACTTTTACCCGTATTTGTTGTTTCTTTGCCTAGTGTTCATCATTAAAGGGACAAGACAAGTATTTTTACCCGTATTTGTTGTTCCTTTGCCTGGTGTTCATCATTAAATGGACAAGACAAGTTCTTTTACCCGTATTTGTTGTTCCTTTGCCTGGTGTTCATCATTAAAGGGACAAGACAAGTTCTTTTACCCGTATTTGTTGTTCCTTTGCTCGGTGTTCATCATTAAAGGGACAAGACAAATGCTTTTACCCGTATTTGTTGTTCCTTTGCCTGGTGTTCATCATTAAAGGGACAAGACAAGTACTTTTACCAGTATTTGTTGTTCCTTTGCTCGGTGTTCATCATTAAAGGGACAAGACAAGTACTGTTCAGCTAGGTGTCCAAGAGGTTGAGTGGTGTATCCATGCTTACCAGCAGCATCGTATCTCAGGCATTGTAAAACCGGAATTCATCCTGTGTAGTACCAATAGTCACCTCTATACGCCATTCCATTCTCAGTTACAGCATTCAATAACGATGAAGGTTTTTTTTAAAGTAGTTACTAATAGTGGTACAAAAGTCGATATGCCGATATATGATTTATTAACAACAATCATGATGCATATTATATCACATTTGTCTTCGATCTTGTAGCCTTTCTTGTACCTCTTAAGAAAGACGTGCATTGTTGATGAATTTCTTTCGTACAATAAGAACATATAAATAATATCTCCAATTACTTTAAACACATTACCTTAAACACGTTTTAAAGTTCATGCAAACATTTTCCAAACAGGTTTTATAAGAGGTTTAAATGCGTTCAAAACAAACCTGATAAGAATCTTTTAGCTCTATTTTCTTTTTAAATGACTTTTCAAATTCAGTTTTAAACCAGGGCCGTCTTTTAGTTGAACTCTTTGTACGAACCTTGTTTTCAATAATGGTGCTCAATGAGCACCTGGTGATTCACATCTTCAAAGATGCACTAGTAAACAGCGTACCCAACATATCCACTCAATCGCGGTCAACATCTCCAGTAATGGCACTACAGAGAGCTACCTGATTGCGACATTAGTGTAGATGACTATGACAATCACTAGAGTAGCGATCCCGGTCTCCCATCTGACCTCATCACGCTACTGGGAATGTGGTACTTAGGTGTTTCATTTTCTGTAAGCCGCGTACTACAAAGGACTTAATTGTTTCTGTATGACGCGTACCCGAGCACTCTCCCAAGTTCCGTCCCTATTGCAGATGTACACAGTATCTAAATGAGTCAATCGTTAGACACTTAATCACTACACAGACCCACGTGTGTACACAGTCTTCAGGCGAGTGAATGCTACATAATGTTTGTCTGGAGCCGAGTGTTCAAATATCTGTATGCCTCCTTCTACAAACCCGTGACTGTATCGATCTGTGTGTGCAGTGATCGAAGTATGTAATGACATTACGTATTTTAGACAATACATCGCTGAAGTCGTCCAGCCTTGTCAACACCGACGCCGCAGCTGGTGAAAGCCTCAGCTATATAAACTTTGCTGAAAAACTTTGTTTATCAACTTAAACAACTACTTGATGATGCTTGTTAAAAATAAAAATCTATTCGAAAATCTGAATACACTCAAAGAAAAGTGGAAACGGATTGAATGAAGAGTTTCACGAACACTTGATGTCATCCCTGATGTCAGTGAGCCAATCATTTTTGTCCTTTAACAGTAGAATTTGTTTCGGCAGATAATCTAGACTGGTTATTCTCTGGCCTTTACGTTTTAATTATAAATCCATGTCAGTATTACCCGTGAAGATCCGGGTTAGAATATTGATCTTCAGTAACCCATGCTTGTCGTAAGAGGCGACTAACGGGATCGGGTGGTCAGGCTGCTGACTTGGTTGACACATGTCACCGGTTCCCAGTTGCGCAGATCGATGCTCATGCTGTTGATCACTGGATTGTCTGGTCCAGACTCGATTATTTACAGACCGCCGCCATGTAGCTGGAATATTGCTGAGTGCGGCGTGAAACTCAACTCACTCAGTCACTCACCCATGTCAATATTAGAATTACATCACAAACAAAGCAGTGTCATGTACAAGACGCAACGATCAATGACGCAGGACACGACGGTAAGGGACCGTTCATAATTTATGGCTGGGGATGTTAATAATTTTCATGGAGAAGCATGTACAATGTGGATGACCTCCCCTAAAATGTATGTACAAAATAAGTGACCCCCCTGCATGTCATGTACAAAATCAATTACCCCCCCTCCCCCTCCCCTAATTTCTAAGCATAATTTTAAACGTATTTTTATGTACAAAATTGATGACACCCCTAGTACGTGTGTACAAAATTGATGACCCCCTAGCTCCCCAGAACAATGGGTGCCCCCCTTTAAAATCAACACACACACACACACACACACACACACCATAGCCATAAATTATGAACGGACCCTAAGCAGCCAGCAAGAAAACATCTGCATCCATGTGATTCTAAGGACCTGAGGCGTGGTACCACTGGGGGCTAACTAAGTCACCATCCATACGTAATGTCGCTATATTTTCGCTGCCAGAATGTGTTCTCTTTTCGCAGTCCAATTTGTTAAATATATGAAATGCATTACTGATATAGAATTGGCTCAACAGCCATGTTGTTGTCAATTAGGGTTGTAAAATGATGTATTTGTACCACATCAGATGGGGGAATATAACGTTTCGACCACCGAAATGTACCACCGAGATTGCATGTATTTCAAATGAACAGAACTGATTGATTAGAAGGGCACCAAAGCATCTAGTTAGTTTGTTTGCAAATGCAAATGCACTCGACAACATTCCATCTCGAGAACAAGACTGATAAATAACTAAGTCTGGACCAAACAAGCCGGGGATTGATATAATGAGAAACTCCCCATGCCATTGTGGTACAGTGACGTGCAGGCAACGTGCAGGCACCATGTCTGACAAGCACTGCTTTCTGGGGGTCGATTCTGGCCCCGAATCCCTGAAGGGGACACCAGTAAGGGATTCAGGACAGAACTGCAGGTTCACATACGATGCATCGCCGATATGAAGTTTCAGCATCTGGTCGATAGCTGCCCTGCCTACTTTGGTACACGCGCCAATATCCTTCCAGGCATATTTTAATGGAAGCTTTAGCTGTGTGTTGTTATCTCGAGGGCCGACAGCTGTGTGGGCCAGCATGGACTGTCCTGATTCACTCGCTGTTAGCACTCGTGATGGACTGTGCATACAGTCTGTGTAGAGGACTATCGTTAATCGACAAACAATAAACTAGCATGTTTACTTTATATCGTGTGTGTGTGTGCGTGCGTGCGTGTGTGTGTGTGATATGTATGTAGGTAGATAGGGCTGGACTGGAAGATGGGGAGAGACTGGAGACAGTGATAGTGACTGGTTCTGTTCAGCCGAGGGAGTTTGCTTGAAATACCTTTAACATAAGAGTAAAACATCTTCTTGGAGAGATACAGTCCTTCTGATTGAAATTAAACCTGAATTCAGAAAGCAATACAGCCCTACACAACGTGATGTATATCTTCCCCAGTACTAATTGAAAACCACTGCGGCGCCGTACCCATGCTGTGCATGACACAGATAATGGTGGAAACGTGTTATCACACCGTCCTGTCGTAGACTACTGGACTGCCCACAGTGTCTGGAGGTAACAGGTTTTGTTGACACAGACATCGTGTGTACATGCTTGTCGTCCAGCGAGGTAAAGCAAGATGCTTATTTTGACATCACAGTAATTGACTGATAGATTCTGAAGCAAACCTATAGTTAGTGGCAGCAATGGCTGGTAATTGATCCCGTGGGTTCTGATTGTGGATGATGAGGAGCTCCCCTCTAGCACCAATTCCTTCCATTGATCCGCATATGGGATTGATTCTTCTGAGAGAGCAGTTTGCCACTGTCGCTGAATCACAGGTAGATGAAGACGACTAGAGGCAACAATAAGCCTCGCTCGTCCGATCTCTCCAACACGCCGACAGCTATGCTTCAATACAGGTGGAATGTTTAGATGGGAACAGAAGACGATGTCGGACGCGCGGCTGCACAGTTTGGGTGTGGTCAGTCTGGCCTACCTGATGTCCAGTCTGACTTGTGCTGTAAACATTGGTAAGTAACATCAGTGCCAATACTACAGTAGTATGATGTGATAATACTAGATTGTCGGCCTCTACATCTACGAGGGGACATCCTACTGGCAGGTACACAGGGGCGCCAGGATTGTAGGTACAGTAGCGAGATTTCATCAGAGTAGCCAGTGAAAGGTCACACTACTGATATTATCACGCAGGTATGTTTTTGAAAGATCGTGTTTTTTAGATTTAACGTTTTATTGTCCTAATAATGCTTCCCAGTTTTAGCATAATGGTTCACTGTAAAGCTGAATGTACTGTTTGCAGAGGAAATCTAACTGTTTATATAATCTACTGTTTATTGTCAGCCAATTCACACAACGCTAATTATGTCTAGTGAAAGGATTACAGCATGTATACAATATGATACTGGCCTTCAGTCAGAGTATGGTTTCACGCTGCTTATATCAATATTACGGAAATAATGCAGGGTGGAAACCAGAAACAAAAGTACCAAAGTGAGGAATCAAGTCTAATCCTTCAGAGTGAAGAGCGAAACACTAGGTTACCTCACCGCACATAACAATACACAGAGATGTTGATAGTCGGGTTCGAACATTAAATATGTTCAACCATATATAATACAATCTGTAGAAGATTCAGTATGTTTTTGTAACACTGACCCGTGGTACCTGAAAACCTATTTGTTTTGTTGGTTTTCTTCCAGGATTCATCTACCACGAATCATACAACGCTAGCAACGTCCTGACGACGACCTTGCCCTACGTCACCGCGAACGACTCATCATCCCCTGTAGGTATAGTGGAGATACGCCTGGCAGATGGGAAGATAGGGGATGCCATACTTAAAGGTACAGTGGTGCTAGTCCAATAGGCTAGAGTCCAGTCGAGTGGACAGCCAGTGACCAATGTAACGACAGTCCAGTTGTCTGCATCACCATAATCTCTTAATTTTCTCATATCCACCAGTATATGTTGGGTTCGAAATCAGCCATTTTCTATCTTTGGTCTGTCAGAGTCGTGCTCAGGGGTAACTTTAAGTTGTAAACTCTGGTCAATGACAGGCTGATGTATTACACCACTTTTTGGGGCCGTGGGGTAGCCTAGTGGTTAAAGCGTTCGCTCGTCACACCGAAGACCCGTGGGTACAGTGTGTTCAGCCCATTTCTGGTGTCCCCCGTCGTGATATTGCTGGAATATGTCTAAAACGGCGTAAAACTATACTCACTCACTCACTCACTACACCACCTTGTAGAAACACTGGTTACACTTCATCCACTAGGCAACCCGGTTCAACGCGAAGCCCGTGATAATCCGGGTTAGGACTGGCCTACAGCAACCCATGCTTGTCGTAAGACTCGCCGAATTGGTTGGTACTTGGCATCGTGTTCCAGTTGCCTGGGTCGATGTTAGTCACCGGAATGACTCGATTTTTAACATACTATAATATTGCTTCAGTTTCAGTATTGTAAAGACGATGGAAAGGTTATGGAAACAAAAACAAAATATTTATGTACTTTTGGAAAACATTTTCTTGCTCATTTATTTGGTGATGTGTCAAGGTAAATATTTACAAAAGTGTTTTACGGTGTCAGGTTAAGGTTGAGTATCTTCAAGGATGAATTTTCCAAACTTACATATTGATCTCCGAGGTTCAGTGTAATAATCTGTTGGGAAACCAAACACAGCACACCTCGTTATGTTGCTTCACTAATTGTATTGCTTCACTACTTTCAGTTTGTGAACAGGTTCAGAATCACACTATAGGATTCGTTGTTGTCTCCCCCTGTCACCTGCTGACCATCCTAGAGGGCGCTGTGGGTCGTCTCGATGTTCCTGTTCTCGGTATTCACTCTGACCCCTGCCACCACAAGGCCACGATACCCTCAACCTTCCGGGTACAGCCTCCCGCCGTGTACCGCTATAACGCCATCACCAGTCTGGTGCTTGCCGGCAACTTTATCCAGGTCACCATTCTCTCAGATGAGTGTAAGTAACGTGTCTTCATAGATGTAAGTGAGGGAGTGAGTTTAGTTTTACGCCGCACTCAGCAATATTCCAGCTATATGGCGGCGGTCTGTAAATAATCGAGTCTGGACCAGACAATCCAGTGATGAACAACATGAGCATCGATCTGCGCAATTGGGAACCGATGACATGTGTCAACCAAGTCAGCGAAGCTGACCACCCGATCCCGTTAGTCGCCTCTTACGACAAGCATGGGTTACTGAAGATCAATATTCTAACCCGGACCTTCACGGGTCAATAGATGTAAGTAACGTATCTCAATAGATGTGTGTAAGTAAGGTCTCCTCACCTATGTGTGTAAGTAACATGTCCTCACAGGTGTATGTAAATAGCGTGTCTCCAAAGATGTGTGTAAGCAACGTGTCTCAATAGATGTGTGTAAGTAACGTATCCTCAGAGATGTGTGTAAGTAACGTGTCTTCATAGATGTGTGTAAGTGACATGTCTCAAGAGATGTGTGTAAGTAACGTGCCCTCGGGGATGTGTGTAAGCAACGTGTCTTCAGAGATGTGTGTAAGCAACGTATCTTCACAGATGTGTGTAAGTAACGCGTCCCCGCGTATGTGTGTTTTACTGCAACGTTGTGTGTGTCTAACGATAAATTGTATTGTCTGTTGATGAGAGTTGTTTTTTAACGATCACTAGAATGTTATTTTGTAGCAGAGACTCAGGTAACACACTTCCGGTCCCTTCTCTCTGGTGCCTTTGTTGAATCGTCCGTGACATACATGCATGGAGGCTACAACGCACCAACTGCGACAGCACTGTTGTCAAGAGTAACCGACAACGACGAGTCGACGACGTGCCTCCTCCTGATGCTGGGGGAAGCATCACTTAAAGCAGTTTCACGTCTTGTAAGTTTCTACAGTCTATAATTATCATCCAAGGAGTAATATTTCAGCTCTTATTTTATCATCTGTTCCAATGAATATACTATTTGCGATGATGATTATGTAAAATTGCTATGTTTATTCGTTCTAATACCCTTCAGCTAAACACCACTGAATACAACTTCGAAGACCACATAGCCATTGTTGTGCCATCTTCAGCTGTCAGCTCCACTCACGGACTAGAAGGCTTCGCTAAGTTCAGGGACGTCCTCTACATACCTACAGCCAAGCCCACCTCTCCCAGCGATGCCAAGAGCTTGAATGTAGGCTGACTGTCATGTTTTGGCAAATAGCTGATAAAAAGTGTTAAAAAAGTGTGAAAGGTGAAATATATTCGTTGAAATTTGCTGAGTTTATCATATAATATGACATGACATAATGTAATATATATAAATAAGTCACCCTACCTGTTCAGTTGCTTCATATCAGAAGCATAGGGGTGTCTATCATTGGTCGGAATATGCAGTGTTCTTGCTATTCAAATCTACCATCGAACTCAACTAGTACTGACGTCAGACTGATGGTCGTGATACCCAGGTGAACGGACTAGAGACACTACAAGGTGAACTGATGTATCACACAAGATGACAAGTGGATCACTGACCAATGTCTCTTATATCAGTTTGAAATCTCTCTCTATATAGAAACAGGCACGCTAACAGTTAAATTCCATTTCACTTACTCCTTCAGTGATTGTTGTATGCCGCATGTTAACTGTTAACTTAATCTTACTTTGTTAACTCCTTCTCTTCTCCAACTGATGGCAGACAACAGATGCACACGTGGAGGACTCCTTCAAAGCCCTCATAGCGGCGATCAGCGTCAACCTGGCAACGACAGACAACGTCACCGCCAGACGCTGCGGAGACAGCTATGTCAATGTATCATCTGTAGTTCACCACGTGACTAACAGCTTACGTAAGGTAAATATGCAATCTTATCATACCAAGTGAAAACGATGTGTATTCCGCACTAATAACCATGATGTTTTTATAAACATTAAAGAAAACGATCAGATATATTTAAGTGATCAATATATAGATACACGTCAGGTTTATTTGGTTCGGTACAGTAAATACAGCCGCCATATAGCTGGAATATTGCTGAGTGCGGCGTAAAACTAAACTCACTCACTCGGTAAATACAGGAGCTTATTGGTTAAAAATAAATCTTGGGCAATTTCACCGATGACTGCATTTCTGATGTCCTCTTTATGGTATACGGCTGGAATATTGGTAAAAGTGGCATAAAACAAACTCATTTTCGTTCAGATGTTTTGAGCAAATGTAAAACGTCAACGCCAGAAAATAATCAGGCGACAGACGACAATTGTAGGAATGGATCAGTAAAAGTTAGTGATGACACCAGATGTTCACGGAAAGGGCAATCATGTCCTGCCCTACCGGCAGCACGTACAGCTGACGCGGTGTGCGCACAAATGGTAGTTTTTTGCATGACGTTTTACAGCAGATTTCATGATGTGCGAAGCAGCCTATAAACAATCCCAGATTCCCTAGACAAGGGAACACACGTGTAATAGTTCATAAATATGTTACAGATAAAAACATTAAATAATGTCCAACGTAACTCATTTCAGTTGGAAACAAACAGTACGCTGTTTGACAACAAAGGACACAATCTGATGGGTCATTACAACATCGAGAGGTTGAGGTACCAGAACAATACGTTGACATCAGAGCACGTGGCCAGGTGGTCCAAGATGGGTGGGCTGGACGTCCCTTGGGGAACTCAGTTGTTCCGCGAAAGCACCAAGGGTCTGGGAAACATCACCCTGAGGGTGGGCACTACCGTGGTAAGGGCATTACTGTAGCTTTCTTGAAGTCGGTTCTAAGATTCAGGTTATTATCATCCATCAGTACATATATTTCTTAAGACGTGTACGGTAATACTTACTCTTTAAATAATGTGTTGACTGTTGATGGTTATATTAGATAATATTTACACAATCTAAGGTTAGAAATGTGTGTACATGTGTATATAGGGAGGCCAGTGTGACCCTATATTTCTCCGTATCAGGCTGCACCATTTGTGATGAAGCTGCCCAACAACACCGGCTGGGAGGGGTTCTGTGTCGACATCTTGGACGAGCTGGCGGCGAGGCTCAACTTCAGGTAGGCGGTGCAACGGGGCAATGTGTGAGTGAGTTTTGTTTAGCGCCGTTTTAGCAATATTGGAGCTTTTACATGGTGGAAAACATAAAGGTAGCGACTTAACTGTGTCCATTGGGGAAAATTCGAACTTGGCCTCTGGCGTGAAGACGCTACCAATGACTTACCAGACTTGTCATATTTCATGGAGTCTGTTCTGTTGATGTTCCAAACAGCTTCATCTTGTGTAGGTACGAGCTGATACAGTCTCCTGACGAGTTCTGGGGAACGGTGGATGAAGACGGCAACTGGAACGGCGTGGTGGAGATGACGAGGAAGAGGGTTGGTGCATCCATTATGTAACTTGCATGTCTCATGAAGGATTTCATTGGCACATCCAGTGACTAGATGGTGACGATTGTTAGCTTTTCTTTGGGCATCGACTATCTGACAACCTGGGTTTGACTCGGGATCTTTTGGAAAAGATATTTGGTTCACAACAAACAAAATATTTTAGTCCACCTGATATGCTGGATGCTGGTGACAATGTCTTGTGGCTTCCACCATAAAAATGTATATCATGCAGTGTCTCAAACATTTTTGTTAAATCTTCTGCTAAATCATTTGGCTTTCTATTTGTCAAATGTTAACAAAGTGTGTGTTATGTTAAGCATGGGATCATTTAAGGAAGGCGCCTTGTGCCACCCCTTACTATCTTCCCTAATCGGTAGCAGTGTTGTAGTGGTTGCAAGAAGAGGTCACATAGAGTCACACCTCAGTTTAGCTTGTCATGTCTTCAGTCCGTTGACCTGGGTATTGGGCCCATCAGTCTGACGTCAGAGCGGGAGAGGGTGATTGACTTCACCAAGCCATATATGGAGGAAGGGGCGGGCATCATTCTCAGGCGTTTCGAGGACAAAAGCAGCAAGATTTTCAGGTAACTGACTTATCTCGTTACATAATGTCTGCTACCGTGCGTTCAAGAGAGAAGTCCCAGTCAACCCACACATTAACGTTTTGTTTTGTCCTGTGAATAGGATTTCGAGATCTACACCATAGAGAAGTCTGACCCACGTGCCTTCAGCAAGCATAATAAGCATCAGTATACGAAATGACATGATCTATTTGTATTGTGGACCTGTTGTTCTGTTCCAGAGTGTTCAAGCCGTTCTCTGAGAGTGTGTGGTTGGCCGTGGCTGGAGCCGTGCTGGTGGTGGGCTTCACATTGGCCCTGGTCAACCACCTTAGTCCCTTAAAGCTGCAGCAGACGGATGAGGATGGGGAGGGGAACAGAAATACGGAGATCAGCACGTCAGACAACATCTGGATAGTGTACGAGTCCTACATGGAGCAAGGTGACCGGATGTGTGCCGTGGCATTATTAGACCAGCTGATCAACCCCTCATTTTGTTGAGGATTTTAATTTGTTTTGATTTACTTGGATTAGTTTGATGAGAACAGTGCTCTGAGTATATTCATTTTCGTATCTCCGTCACAAGACGTAATTATGATTAAGTTGGATTGTCGCTTCTTTGAAAAGGATTTTATATATCCTACGGGATGTCAGTTGTAGACGGTTTGTCCTGATACCGTAGATACAGGTATGGTGAAAATTCATAACAGCTACAAATGTTGGGTTCGAACCTGAGAGCACATTCCCGTGGCACAGCGCGTCGACATATAACATATATAGAAGAAGCAAAGTCCGGAAACAAACGAATAGACAATTTCAAAAGTCCAATGTCACAAATCACAGTAACATTATTTCGTGTAGATCCCAGAAGCTTTCATTATAAAGCGATTAAAAGTGTCGATGTTGCAGTTCTTGGTAATTATTTTAACAAGGAGAATACTTATTTCCCCTCATCTGTCCCCCTCTTACCTTCTTCAGGTTGTGAGATATCTCCGCCTAACATATCCGGCCGATTCATACTGGGGTTTTGGTGGGTGTTCACTATACTTATGGTGGCCTCCTACAAGGCCAATCTCGTCGCCTTCCTCACCGTCAACTTCGTGGGCAAACCCATCAGGAACGTCGACGACCTCGCTGAGCAGACTGTCATAAAGCCCCTGGTTAAACAAGGCTCCAACCTTTACCAAGAACTCCAGGTACCGTCTCGTACATTGTCACAGCAAACGAGGAATTCTTAATGGAGTGAGGTCACCCTTGCTTACTTTCTTGGTTTAAGTTTCGTCTTTATGATAATACATAGTTACTGGCTCACGATGTTTTGTTGTCGATAGTTGTCTAGGTGCTTTAAAGGTTATCCCATTCCCTTTTGTAAGGGTCAGCTTTGTTTGCTCGTTGTTCAAGGCCGCTCTCATCAATATTACAACTATGTGACGGGGTCTATTCATAATTGCGTCTGGACCGGACAGTCCAATTGTTTGACATCATGAACATCGAACTCTGTTACTGGGAGACGATGACATGCAACGAACCTGATCACCCGTTATCGTTAATAGTCTCTTACGATAAGCGCGGGTTGGTGAAGACAGTTCGAACACTAATTTATTTAGATAATTTGCAATGAATGAGCAAATATTGACTTCCGCCGTGTTATGTTTTCTGTATATGTCGGTGGGGATCCAAGGACGTGTGTCACAGGTTGTATGTGTGTTGGAAATAGAGCCCTGACCGTAGGCCGAGCGAGCAAATCCTGTATCACTACACTTCACCCAAACCCGTGGATATTGAACTTCACGGGTTTACTAGAGAAATGCAAGCTGCAATAAATTATTGATATTGAATCGTGTTTGTAAATTACCTCAACAGAGAAACGCGAACATACCGTATAAGCTAACAGCAATTTAATACTTCAGAGTCAAGTGGTAATATGTGGTGATAGCCATTGCTGTACACATCGATATGTCTAGATCGGAAACCGACTGTTGCCTGTGTTGATGTTCCATGACGGCAATATATCAATAGAGGCAATCAAGTGTTCAGCATAGGTGGTAGCAGGTAATATTTTCCTGTTGTAACAGTGTGCAACAACCACGCAGTATTGATTTCGTCATATGTTGTGTATAAATAACGCTCACGGTACACGCATCACACATAGTGGTGTTAATAAGTGCTCCAAATCGAATGTGCGTCGAGACGTCTGATGATTCATACATCATGACTTTCGAGTCAGTTCGAGAGCTGCTTAATTCGTTACAACACACTCCCGCACAGTGACATAATTCATGTGCTACAAGCTAATGGGCACATCACTCACCTTGTTTTCTCTTGGAAATAATCGCTATAATTCTAACATAGCCAGGCCTTCTGGGATTTTGTGGGTTTTAGTGTTATTTTCAGATTGCCTTGCATACTTAAAATATAAGATATGCCACTACTTAATAACTATGGTGAGGGTACGACAACATATTTGTACTCATGAAAAGGATGGTATCTCCTGTCCACAGGGATTTGACAGCTGCATATTTCAAATAAAGGTGACCCAAAGGAACTCTGAATATGAGAGCCTACAACCGTATATAGGACTATTGATATTATATGTGTGTTTTTAATTGTTCCAGAAAGGAGAAACAGAGACTTTCCGGAAGTTGTGGGCAATGGTGAAAACAGCGCCACCTGTGAAGAACAATGACGAGGCTCTCCACTTGGTTCTGACTGGTGATTATGCACTGCTGACTGACCAATCACAGATCGAGTTTCTGCGTATGACAGACTGCGAGAATCTCATGTCTGGCGAGACTCCATTCAATGTAGGGGGTCTGGGTTTCATTGTGCCAGAATCATCCCCATTGCTTGAGATCTTGTCCTTTAAGTAAGTGAAAGTCATAAGCCATTATAAATATAGAAAGCCAAGGTTATGCACATTTACGTAAGGTATTTCAGCAGAACGTTATAAATAACCCTGATTCTGTTGATGGGCTTAGGTTTCACGCGTATATATTTCACCATGTATATTCGAATTATCCAAAACAAAAGCATTAAGCAGCCTAAATCAATGTTTAGCCAGTGTGTGTTTGCTGCTTAACACCACCCCCATCTATATGATCGTCCAACCACTCAAGAGACTGATATTATGAGCAACTAACTACGCCGTCGGGATGCTCACGTTATCAACCGAACCCCGATCCTGACCACCCGACCCATTAGAACCAGAAATGGTTATTTGCTGCAGGTGCCATAGATTATTTTTGGAACTTAAGTTTGCAGTAGTGGTGTGGTTTACTTTCTTTTACACAACAGTCAAGTTGGTCACTGTTGGTAACTGGGCAGGTTTGAGATAATCCTGTATTAGGGAATGTAACAGGAACTTACTCTTATAGGTTAGACAAGTTGACCACTGAGCCGAAAGGCCTACTGGTTCTTAATATCAACGGTCGTATGTGCATTTGTTCTCATAATGATCCCCACTCACTCGAACTTAAACATGTATATTGAATAATATAAATCCCATCTGTCAGAGTGTATTCTAATAACCTGTTGCTTGAACAACGACACAACCCTAACGTTTAATCCTTAATTTGACTCAAAGCTTTTGTGCGCAGTCTGATCCAGCTCCAGGAGGCGGGTCTGATCGGAAAGTGGCGACGCAGGTGGTGGTCACCTAGTTCCATGTGCCCGACGTCCAGCCAGACCAGTACGGTCCAGAGTCTGGAACTGGAGAGTACAAGTGGCCCATTCTTGGTGTTCGCCGGCTCCACCACCTGCGCCCTCCTCTGTCTAGGGGTGGAGTGTGTGTACTTCAGAGTAATGGGCAGGGGCAAGGTGTGTTGCAAGTCGCGTGGGCCAGCAAGACCACGGGAAACAGAAGACGGCAGTTCCAGAGAAGACACCACTAACGAGAGGTTCTAGGAGACAGACCAGTACTAGACAGTACCAGTACTAGATTACCTCACACTGTGATGCCATGTCGGGATGCTGGATGAACATAGAAAATACCATATACACGTCCAGTTGTATCATCCCGCCTTGCTGGACACAAGCGTGTGTTTGAAGAGCTATACATACCCACACTGAACCTATACCAATGTTATCGCATACATGAGTTAAGTAAAGGTGCAGCCAGTAATTACAACTACCATCATCCATATCTATGTTCACAACATTAACGTGCAATGTGTACTGAAGACCTTGTATATATATCACATGTTCTCATTTTCGTGTGCAAAAATTTGATGTGTTCTGTGAAGTTTCTGTGTACAATATGTGTACAATATGTACGAGATACCTGTCAATATCATGTACAGAATATGTATGCAATGTCCGACATTCTTGCCTGGAGCAGCTACAACGTAACTATAATGTGAATCGCGTAAGAAATGTATCCTTGCATTGATTTCTATCATATTTTATTGATATCTGAAATTGTAAGCCCGCCTCATTGAACATCAGCTACTTGTTGTTAAACCTGAAGCAGTCTTAAAAACTACTGGCTCAATCGTTTTCGAGGTCATTTCATATACGGTGAAATTAACAAACTTCTTTTCAGTCAATAGTCCCCTATGAGAGGCAAGCTGACATGTTTCCCTGATCAATATGTTGCATGTATCATTAACAACGACTGTTTAGATAATAAACATACACTTCATCAACGAATCTTGCCTTTATTGGTATAGTTAACAGTTCAAACAATGTGGTTGTGCAAGTGATAACTTGTCAACAAGAGCACTCTCGAGTATCAGAGATAGTGGACATCCGGTTTGAATCCGCATCAGTATCCCAGCGGTATCATGAACCCTGACCTTCATGGACCCTGACCTTCAGCGTGATGTGGCAACCACCAGGGAACAATTCCATCTTCTCGCACGTAGTTCATGCATCTCAATAAACACATGAAGCGGCAATGATTTTACAGGATATATATGAACGTAATGTGTCATTAAACGCTATGCAGGTGGTCTATGTACTTACTCAGCGTAATGGATAATCTGTATGTACTTGCATAGCATAATTGATCATCTGCATGTACTTGCATAGCATAATGGCACATCTGGATGTACTTACAGAGCGTAATGGATAATCTGTATATACTTGCATAGCATAATGGATAATCTGCATGTACTTGCATAGGAAAATGAACTTACATAACAGAATGGATAATATGTATATACTTGCATAGCCTATGGATAATCTGCATGTACTTGCATACATAATGGATCATCAGTATGTACTTACATATATATTGGCAGTGTTTATGATGCAGAGATTCCTTGCGGCCTTTAAACATTGTCAATACAACGGGTGTGCAATATAGATTGGTAAATATGATGATTGCGTTTATTCCAACATTATGTAAGTAACGTGGCCTCCACAATACACTTATAGGAGGTCGATAATAGATTTTGGAACCATTTTGCGTGGGTCAATACCATTTAACAGCACATTACAGGTGCTTGTGTTGAAACAGAGTGAAGACGGTTACAGATGATTTTGATGAGGACACGGAACTGTGTTTGTGTTGCCTCATGCCAATTCTTAGCTTCTGTAGATATGTATGGCCAAAATAAGAATCGAAGGATCATGTCTACATGCTGTTTACGTCACAATGGTGTCTGCGATGTCAGGAAACGTGTCGGGAAATGGAGTTTTAAACAATTATCAACTCGTGTGCATATACTGCATTTCAAAAGAAGTTGAGTGAGCTGCTCTGTGTCAAATACACTACTACACGTTCAATACCCACAAAGTTTAGTCCGGTTTGATCGCCGCCCAGGAGCGAACGGGAAGGTGAATATGGTACAGGAACGCAAACTCTTCTGGCTTCGGTTGTATATTCCACGGGAAGTTGAGAATGCCAATGAAATACACTCCGCTCCTTATGCTGTTTGTACATATCGGAGAATCATACCCCGTCAACTCCATTTTGTGATTTGGAATTATCTGTGACAAGGAAGGAATTTTCCGTTACATCAATGTCGTAATCACAAAGTTTCTGTGACTTTAGACCAATTCATGGAAATTGATATGTACGGGGGGTTTTTTTCGCTGAAAAAAACAGCACATCTTTATGATGAAAGGGGAGAAACCCTAATCGGAACATTTACTATTATTTTTACACTTCTTTATGGGGTCATTTGTCACAATATACCGAATATTTATTAAAAAGTATCAATTTCGTAACAATTCATGCTTTTACATGATTATCAGTAGCTTTCTGAACAACATATATTTACTTGTTACTGATGGAAACCTAATGTAAGTAAATGTGAATTCAACTCTCTTGTAATATTCATTTTGTAGGTATACAGGTCATTTATCGTACCTTACCCTTCCATTGCTGATGCTAAAATCACAAAGACTCTGTGACATATCGCAAAGTTTCCATCGCAAAAATCACAAAGACTCCACTCTCGCTTTGACCAAGTTACCTATCCGTGTATACTCTCTTGTAAACATATTTCTATATTTGTATGTACTGTATATAGGTACAACGTAAATACAATACCCCGTAGTCATGGCAACAGCTATTTTGCGAAACCTTTGTAATCTTCGTAACATCGGCGCGGTGTAGCTTAATGTAGTGTACATGTGTTAAAAAATGTGGCAAACGTTAAACAGGCGGTGTTATTTATCGTATGCGTGTGGTGATATCCCCAGCCAACAGTCAATATTTCCCGAAGACCAAGCCAAGAATTTGTAGTATAATACTTATGTGCCGCAAAAGACCAAAAGACGCTACATGCTGTTCCAATGCCTGGCATTTGGACTGATGTGCTTAGTCTCCGTATAATGTGACTGACTGGTGGGTTCGTGGTCAGCTGCGGCATATAACTCAGCTGGCTAGCACAAAAAAAACATTGGACATTAGACAGGAGTAGTGCAAGCGGACATAGGACCATGGACACGCTCATGCACATGAATACAAGTCGCAAGTTATGCGCAATAATCTTGGTCATGAACTTATCCCATTTCACCCTATATGGGAACTAAGATAGCAGTTCTCATGACATGTCAAAGGTCACAAATATTAGCGCTTTAGTCTCCAGCACAGAAAGTCACGTGCTGCCTGTTTTCTTCATGGCGAGGGGCAAGGGAAATATGTCCCCGCTCTGGAATGTATTTACTTCTCAGACTTCTTGCAAAGTATTTTATGAAGATCATATGGACCAACATCCTGTCATGTAGGAAATATAATGTTTGACATCAAATGCAATTCGAGTGTCTGTATGAACTAACCTTTATAATATAGAGTTCAAAAGAAGTTAAGGACCATCCAATTTCTGTTATATTGCTGTTGTATTGTTGATATGCCACGACAAGATAATGTACATAATTATGAGGAAATCGGGCAATCCTTCACTTCTTTTGAATAGTCTTAATTATATACCTGTATGTTATGACCAGTGTGTGAGTATCCCGTGCATGTATTGTCTATGAGCTGTGACACAACCAGTATATATCCAGCTGTGGTACCGTTGTAATGGAATACAAACCACCATGATTCTACAAGGGAACCAATAACGGTAAACCGTCTCTTGAGACCAACTACCCAACATCATCACAATCTACCCTGAGAACGTAACATGAGTTGCAGCAGAAGGCTCACTGTAAAGGCGCGCTCATATTTGTTTAATATTCGTCAGACGGTGCAATGTCAACAGTGATCCTCTGCACATTAATTACGCTTCATCAATGTGGTTGATAACACAGGCTTCCTTAAGTGGGCGTCCCTGGAAGATCAGCTGACAATCACAGACGAGGCAACACTACCATAAACTATGGCGCTCTGTTCCATTAGATGAGATCAAACACTGTATCTTTAGTCATCATCAACAACGCTGCTGTCGATAATGGATGCCACCACTATCACCTGACAGGTAATGGACGCATGGGGAGGGGTTACTGACATCAATCAAGCTACTTCTCTTGCTGGTATTGATTAGGTGAGGCCAGGTGAGCTTCTCGAGCGGAAGATTGATTTCGCAATGTTTGGCCAATCGAAGGCTCGGGCGATGGTTATGCGTTAATATTCACCTGTCCTCTCTTGTTTTGATTACAGGTAGACGCCATAAGCATCAGGTAGAAATACAGGCAGGTAAGTACAGTCCATTTATATCTGCAAATGACATGTTATCTTTGAAATTTCAGCATAAAGCGTTGGATGTGACGTTTCTACATCTAGAATGTGCTTATATTTAAAGATGTTAAGAAATACTCTTTGAAAACAACTGAATGTTTCCGTACAATGTATGAGTACAATTAATGCTTGTTCGTTGTTCGTGTCGGTACGACCTGATACTAAAGATTGAGCGATAGTCTTTTGAGAGAAGAGTCCTAGCTTTTATACCAGCTATTTTCAGTAGCTGCCTACCAAAGAGCGTGTGCTGCCGTTTTATGACGGTAAATTGTTATCGAGCGTCAGGTATTATAAATGGTATGATGTATGTGAGCATCAAAATACAGACACTGATCTAAATTTCTATTACTACTCTTGTCACCACAATCAAACGTTCTCTCAAATAAACTGTCCGAAATTGAAAATACCAGTTATTCATGACACTGTAGTTGTTGATGTTGACCTATATCTGGGAGGATGTAGTTGTCGTGTAGGCGATGGTCCTGCCACAGCTGTGTTTATATAGGTTGCCCCCCGGTGATATCTGACACGGACATCATGCTACATTAACCACTAATCTGTAATCACCTGGCAGCTCTGTCAAATGAGGCTACCTTTAGCATACGTTAAACCACCTACAGTTGCAGGTTAAAGCTGAACATTCTGTGTTGAACGCTGCAGCAATAAATACCAACATTAATACAACATTAGCAAACAGAACATAAATGTTTTTATACTCATTTCCTGGATTTTGTAATATTGTGCAAATAATCACACACACCACCCATACACCCCACCCCTCCCCCCACCCCTATTATGTCAAAATCAGTGAGAGAGGATTTCATGCTGATATTGACTCTGACTTCGTCATACTATTATGAAGTGACATCGAGTATTACCTAGATTTGCACTGTCCTGTTGCATGTGGCTACAGCTGTATGTGTGCATATCAACGCATTGCTATGAGTGTGTACAGACCTACATGTGTTTATCAATGTATTGCTGCATGTGTCTACAGTTGTACATGTGGATATCGATGTATTGATGTATGCGTGTACAGACGTACATGTGTTTATCAATGTATTGCAACATGTGTCTACAGTTGTACATGTGGATATCAATGTACTCGTGTATGTGTGTACAGACCTACATGTGTTTATCAATGTATTGCTACATGTGTCTACAGTTGTACATGTAGTTATCGATGTATTCATGTATATGTGTACAGACGTACATGTGTTTATCAATGTATTGCTGCATGTGTCTACAGTTGTACATGTGGATATCGATGTATTCATGTATATGTGTACAGACGTTCATGTGTTTATCAATGTATTGCTACATGTGTCTACAGTTGTACATGTGGATATCGATGTATTCATATATGTGTACAGACCTACATGTGTTTATCAATGTATTGCTACATGTGTCTACAGTTGTACATGTAGTTATCGATGTATTCATGTATATGTGTACAGACGTACATGTGTTTATCAATGTATTGCTGCATGTGTCTACAGTTGTACATGTGGATATCAATGTATTCATGTATATGTGTACAGACGTTCATGTGTTTATCAATGTATTGCTACATGTGTCTACAGTTGTACATGTGGATATCGATGTATTCATATATGTGTACAGACGTACATGTGTTTATCAATGTATTGCTACATGTGTCTACAGTTGTACATGCAGATATCAATGTATTCATGTATATGTGTACAGACGTACATGTGTTTATCAATGTATTGATACATGTGTCTACAGTTGTACATGTGGATATCGATGTATTCATGTATGTGTGTACAGACGTACATGTGTTTATCAATGTATTGCTACATGTGTCTACAGTTGTACATGTGGATATCGATGTATTCATGTATGTGTGTACAGACCTACATGTGATTATCAATGTATTGCTACACGTGTCTACAGCTGTACATGTAGATATCAATGTATTCATGTATGTGTGTACAGACCTACATGTGTTTATCAATGTATTGCTGTTACGTGTCTACATTTGTACATGTAGATATCAATGTATTCATGTATGTGTGTACACACGTACATGTGTTTATCAATGTATTGCTACATGTGTCTACAGCTGTACATGTAGATATCAATGTATTCATGTATGTGTGTACAGACGTACATGTGTTTATCAATGTATTGCTGCAAGTGTCTACAGTTGTACATGTGAATATCAATGTATTCATGTATGTGTGTACAGACGTACATGTGTTTATCAATGTATTGCTACATGTGTCTACAGTTGTACATGTGGATATCGATGTATTCGTGTATCTGTGTACAGACCTACATGTGTTTTTCAGTGTATTGCTACATGTGTCTACATTTGTACATGTGGATATCGATGTATTCATGTATGTGTGTACAGACGTACATGTGTTTATCAATGTATTGCTACATTTGTCTACAGTTGTACATGTAGATATCGATGTATTGATGTATGTGTGTACAGACCTACATGTATATATCAATGTATTGCTGCATGTGTCTACTGTTGTACATGTGGATATCGACGTATTCATGTATGTGTGTACAGACCTACATGTGTTTATCAATTCATTGCTACATGTGTCTACAGCTGTACATGTAGATATCAATGTATTCATGTATGTGTGTACAGACCTACATGTGTTTATCAATGTATTGCTGCATGTGTCTACAGTTGTTACATGTGAATATCAATGTATTCATGTATGTGTGTACAGACGTACATGTGTTTATCAATGTATTGCAACATGTGTCTACAGTTGTACATGTGGATATCGATGTATTCATGTATATGTGTACAAACCTACATATGTTTATCAATGTATTGCTACATGTGTCTACAGTTGTACATGTAGATATCAATGTATTCATGTATATGTGTACAGACGTACATGTGTTTATCAATGCATTGCTGCATGTGTCTACAGTTGTACATGTGGATATCGATGTATTCATGTATATGTGTACAGACGTACATGTGTTTATCAATGTATTGCTACATGTGTCTACAGTTGTACATGTGGATATCGATGTATTCATGTATGTGTGTACAGACTTACATATGTTTATCAATGTATTGCTACATGTGTCTACAGTTGTATATGTGGATATCAATGTATTCACGTATATGTGTACAGACGTACATATGTTTATCAATGTATTGCTACATGTGTCTACATTTGTACATGTAGATATCAATGTATTCATGTATGTGTGTACAGACCTATTTGTGTTTATCAATGTATTGCTGCTGGAACTGGAACTGTTTGTTGGCCCATACCTTTCACCATGATGATACCGTACTGGAACTGTTTGTTGGCCCATACCTTTCACCATGATGATACCGTACTGGAACTGTTTGTTGGCCCATACCTTTCACAATGATGATACAGTACTGGAACTGTTTGTTGGCCCATTTCTTTCACCATGATGATACCGTACTGGAACTGTTTGTTGGCCCATACCTTTCACCAAGATGATACCGTACTGGAACTGTTTGTTGGCCCATACCTTTCACCATGATGATACCGTACTGGAACTGTTTGTTGGCCCATACCTTTCACCATGATGATACCGTACTGGAACTGTTTGTTGGCCCATACCTTTCACCTCATGATGATACCGTACTGGAACTGTTTGTTGGCTCCATACCTTTCACAATGATGATACAGTACTTGAACTGTTTGTTGGCTCCATACCTTTCACCATGATGATACAGTACTGAACTGTTTGTTGGCTCCATACCTTTCACCCTCCTCATGATGATACCGTACTGGACTGTTTGTTGGCCCATACCTTTCACCATGATGATACCGTACTGGACTGTTTGTTGGCCCATACCTTTCACCATGATGATACCGTACTGGAACTGTTTGTTGGCCCATACCTTTCACCATGATGATACCGTACTGGAACTGTTTGTTGGCCCATACCTTTCACAATGATGATACAGTACTGGAACTGCAGAGTAAAACAACACACCTAAGAATTAAGCCAATATGGAATTGCTGTTATTTATATAACTACAGAAAACAGTTACACATGAGGCTAGGGAAGGACTTAATTGCTGATACGATTGTCATCAGTTCCATCAGTTTCCTCATATTGTGAATGGCATGCATCTTTAGCTGTACTGTTCTGATTACGCCATGCTACCTTCTCCTCATGTATTTTGTTGACAGTTTTATGGATATTTATTTCGAAAGCACTGAGCAGATAAGGGAAAACACATTTTATCAACGCAACGCCTAGTTTAATCAATTTTCATTCAGATAAAAACATAAATCTCGCGGATCGCGGGTATATGTGATTTGTCCGTGATCTCCCACTATACCCGACTTTTAATCAATACCAAATGTGCAAGAATTGGGTGGCGATGGATATTTTTCAATAAAGGGCCGTTACCATTGTTTGATTAGTGAATGAAAGCTGCATGTGGTCTAGCTGGAATAAAGAGGAAAACAGCCCTAACGATTGACAGCATTGTTTGGCGACAAGGACGCTACACGGTTGATGTGGGTATTTCTGGGGGTAGTATTGTTGTGTGTTGAATCCCGTGTTGTAAGAATAACCCTTAACCGGAAATTAGTCAGTAAAGGAATTTGATGTGAAACCAACGAACATCAAAGAAATGTCATATAATTAACAACTGTATTCTAGTTTACAAATGAAAACAAATCACTACAATGGAAGTACAAAACAGAGTGGCAGTACACGCTCAGTAGGGGTACACGTACAGTGGCAATATAATATAAAAGCAGTGATGATAATATAAGATCATTGATAATAATACAAAATCACTGATGATGATAAAAGCAGTGATAATAAACTATAAGCAGCGATGATAATACAAGATCACTGATAAAGCAAAAGCAGTGATGATAATATAAGCAGTGATGTTAATATAAAATCAGTGATGATTATAAAGGCAGTGATAATAATATAAGCAGTGATGATAATATAAAAGCAGTGATGATAATATAAAGGTAGTGATGATAATATAAAGCAATCATATAATAAATGAAGTGATGGTAATATATACGCAGTGATGATAATATAAAAGCAGTGATGATAATATAAATCAGTGATGATAATATAAATCAGTGATAATAATATAAATCAGTGATGATAATATAAGATCATTGATAATACTACAAAAGCAGTGATGACGATAATGCAAAAGCAGTGATGATAATATAAAAGCAGTGGTGATAATATAGATCACTGATAATAATACAAAAGCAGTGATGATAATATAAAAACAGCGATGATAATATAAGCAGTGATGTTAATATAAAATCAGTGATGATTATAAAGGCAGTGATAATAATATAAGCAGTGATGATAATATACAAGCAGTGATGATAATATAAAGGTAGTGATGATAATATAAAGCAATGATATAATGAATGAAGTGATGATAATATATAAGCAGTGATGATCATATAAAAGCAGTGATGATAATATAAATCAGTGATGATAATATAATCAGTGATAATAATATATATCAATGATGATAATATAAGATCATTGATAATAATACAAAAGCAGTGATAATAATATAAAAGCAATAATGATAACATAAAAACAGTGATGATAATATAAGCAGTGATGTTGATATAAAATCAGTGATGATTATTAAGGCAGTGATAATAATATAAAGCAGTGATGATAATATAAAAGCAGTGATGATAATATAAAGGTAGTGATGATAATATAAAAGCAGTGATGATAATATAAAAGCAGTGATGATAATATAAATGAAGTGATGAAAATATAAAAGCAGTGATATAATAAATGAAGTGATGATAATATATCAGCAGTGATGATAATATATCAGCAGTGATGATAATATAAAAGCAGTGATGATAATATAAAGCAGTGATAATAATATAAATCAGTGATGATAATATAAGATCATTGATAATAATACAAAAGCAGTGATGATGATGATGATAATATAAAAGCAGTGGTGATAATATAAAAGCAATGATGATAATATAGATCATTGATAATAATACCAAAGCAGTGATGATAATATAAAACAGTAATGATAATATAAAAGCGGTGATAATAATATAAGCAGTGATGATAATATAAGATCATTGGTAATAATACAAAGCAGTGATGATGATGATAATATAAAAGCAGTGATGATGATATAAAAGCAGTGATAATAATGTATAAGCAGTGATGATAATATAAGATCATTGACAACAATGCAAAAGCAGTGATGATAATACAAGCAGTGATGATAATAAAGGCAGTGATGATAATATAAGCAGTGATGATAATATATAAGCAGTGATGAAAATATAAAGCAGTGATGATAATAAAGGCAGTGATGGTAATATTAAAGCAGTGATGATAATAAAGGCAGTGGTGATAATATAAAAGCAATGATGATAATATAGATCATTGATAATAATACCAAAGCAGTGATGATAATATAAAACAGTAATGATAATATAAAAGCGGTGATAATAATATAAGCAGTGATGATAATATAAGATCATTGATAATAATACAAAGCAGTGATAAGGATGATAATATAAAAGCAGTGATGATGATATAAAAACAGTGATAATAATGTATAAGCAGTGATGATAATATAAGATCATTGACAATAATGCAAAAGCAGTGATGATAATACAAGTAGTGATGATAATAAAGGCAGTGATGATAATATAAGCAGTGATGATAATATAAAAGCAGTGATGAAAATATAAAGCAGTGATGATAATAAAGGCAGTGATGGTAATATTATAGCAGTGATGATAATAAAGGCAGTGATGGTAATATAAAAGCAGTGATGATAATTTAAAAGCAGTGGATGATAATAAAGGCAGTGATCATAACATACCCATGCCAATAATGGTTGTCAACTCCTCCCCAACTCAACCATCACACACCTCACTCATCACACCCAAAACCCTCTCCAACCAAAAATATTGAAGGGGGTGACAACCATTATTGGCATGAGTATATTTACATACAGCAACAGTGGCCAAGCTTCCAAAATAGTCCTGGGCTGAGTATTAAGGGTAAACAGTGATCTTCCAAAAGGAATGTTGTCTTCTTTTATCGAGAGATGTAATGTGGGATAACTGAGAATCGCTCCCGATATATTTAGTGTAACTCTTCCGGAACTTTCCATGATAATAGTCTTGGTTAGACTGTACTGGAAGTCTCATCCATTTATTGCACCATGTTGCATTCTCCGTCTAAATATAACATAAGTCTATATATAGCACACCACTGCCCCATACTGAATGTCATACAATGAATGTCAGTACAATGAATATCATAAAATGAATGTCATACAATGAATGTCAGTACAATGAATGTCATACAATGAATGTCATACAATGAATGTCATACAATGAATGTCATACAATGAATAATACAATGAATGTCAGTACAATGAATGTCATACAATGAATGTCATACAATTAATGTCATACAATGAATGTCATACAATGAATGACACAGCCACATCGTGCAGAGGTACAGCGGTGTGCCATATATTTATGAACAAACATGGCTGTCGTCACTGGCAAGACGCAGGGCAGCGACAAATTCAAACTCGCGTAACAACCAAATTATTAGAGTCCTTGGTGATGTATCCCTTGGCAGCAATTATTTTCCTCAGACGACGTGGGATAGACAAATACCGTTTTCTTATATAGTTCACAGGTATGTTTTCCTCAGACGACATGGGATAGACAAATACCGTTTTCTTATATAGTTCACAGGTATGTTTTCCTCAGACGACATGGGATAGAGAAATACCGTTTTCTTATATAGTTCACAGGTATGTTTTCCTCAGACGACATGGGATAGAGAAATACCGTTTTCTTATATAGTTCACAGGTATGTTTTCCTCAGACGACATGGGATAGACAAATACCGTTTCTGATATAGTTCACAGGTATGTTTTCCTCAGACGACATGGGATAGACAAATACCGTTTTCTTATATAGTTCACAGGTATGTTTTCCTCAGACGACGTGAGATAGACAAATACAGGTTTCTGATATAGTTCACAGGTATGTTTTCCTCAGAAGACGTGGGATAGACAAATAACGTTTTCTGCTATAGTTCACAGGTATGTTTTCCCACGCGCGTCGGATCTCTCGCTCCATGTCCTCATGGGTATTGATGCAAACAATACGTTGTCGCAGTCGGTTTTTCAGCAGAAGCCAACAGTTCTCTATAATATTGGCATCTGGAGACTGTGCTGGCCACAAAATGCCATTTATGACATTTCTTTGTTTATATTCTGCTACTATACGGGATATGTGCACATGCGCCTTGTCGTCTTGAAAACTATTTTCATTCGGAAAATGCCGGACAATAACAGGCCACAACTCGGAATCAAGAATATCTATCTATTTCTGAGCATTTATGTTACCTATTACAACAGTTCCAACGCCATGCCAAGTTACGCAGCCCCAGACCATCAAAGAAAGACGTGCATGACACCCGGGACTCAAACACTGAGGGGTGTACTCTTCGCCTGGCCTTCTCCACACATACACGCGGTTGTTTTTTCTCCAATAACCATTTTACATTCATCACTGAAGATGACTCTGCTCCATGCTTCATTAATTCTCAATCGAAGTTTTCCTCTGGCCGAAGCGAGGCGATTTCTCACATTCACATCTCTAATACGCATTTTCTTTCGAACGACACCTCTATGATAATTATTTTGGAATAATTTTCTTTGCATTGTACGCTCGGAGACAGTTCTGATCCTATTCTGATTAAACCTTGAGGTGATTTCCGACAAAGGAGAAATCCGACTGTTTTTTACTAACTTTAAAGATGACGAGTATCACGTGCAGTCAGCGATCGACGGCGTCCAGTTCTTTGGCGATTTTCTGTGCTTCCACTTTCCAGAAATCATTTTACAACACTGCGAACTGTCTTCCGAGGTAAACCAAGATCCCTGGCAATTTCCCTGTATTTTTGGTGCTGTTGGAACTTTGCAGTAATCAAATCTTTAACAGACTGTGAAAATTCTCTTTTTCCCATGCTACCGGAAATCGCCTGCGTAAACAAGCAGACGACACAAAACGTCACGTGCTGAAAGAGCAGGGTTAAATTAGTATCCTTCTGAATTTCATGACCGTACGTCGCCTGTGTCATACTGAATTTGTATTTTAATGAACCATTAAATTTCATGATTCTCACTATTTGGGACATGTTCATAAACTTTTGGCACACCGCTGTATGTTGACACTGCATACTTGGAACTAACATACAGCATGTAGTCCAGAACTGCCATCGTGTTGAGTGCTGTGTGTCTACCTAACAGCTGCAAAACAGATGCTTAAAGACAGGAAAACTTGTTGTCATGATGTGATTGTTTGATTATAGTCTTATGGGGAAATCATGCGTAGTTTGAAATTCATTACATTAGATGTGCATATGTTAGTAATGTATGTAAGTAGGTTGTTCAATTTTCAGAAATTAGGTCACTGACTGTTGGGCTGACGATGTCGTGGATATATCAAGTTGCTTTTGCCGTTTTTGTGTGGGCCTCTACATCACAGGCATTCAACGTCACTGTTCGTGAGTTAATAGCCGAGTTTATGCTATATAATAGTGAATGCTTGGACGAGCGATGCGCGTGCGTGTGTGTGCATTTGATTTATTAATGTATAATACCACGAATACCATGTAGAATAATATACATGTTTCATGCAAACATACTGAAACCCATTAAAAACACATCACCCTATTATCATTGATCATGAAAAATGCAAATCCAAACTGTGCTATGTTACTTTTTACTGAAAAAGGTGAGGCACATCAAGAAGCACCCGCGTCCCTGTGTGATCACGTGACCCACCATTTGCTGAAAATCCCCTTTTCATGTTTAAATCTCGTGAAAATGCAAAACGCTTAGCGGTTTCAACCTCACGATCGTCCTCACACAGGTTCAAATCAGCGTCCAGAGCGTCCACTACCATTCGTGGACCAAGGGGTATCATCAGTCCCGAGATGCTATCACGGCCATTACATCAGCGAAGACTGTGTGCGTGCAGACCCCATATTGGTCCGATACGGACCCAGAGTTTGTTTTTAACGCCGCCCTAAGCAATATTCCAGCTATATCGGCGGTGTGTAAATAATCGAGTTTGGACCAGACAACCAAGTCTTCATAATCATGAGCATCGATCTGCGCAATTTGGATACGATAACATGTGTCAACCAAGTCAGCGAGCCTGACCTCTCGATCCCCGTAGTCGCTTCTTACGGTAAGCATGTGTTGCTGAAAACCAATTCTAAGCCAGATCTACACGGGAATATCGGCGTTGAATCCTTAGACGGCTGATAGGTGTTCTCTTCTGACGAGTCCAGATTTCATCTCAGACATGCGGATGAAAGGAACAGACTCTGGTGTCGACGTGGAGAATGTAACGCCGATTGTCGAGTTCAGTAGATGACACCGTTATGATTTGGGGAGAGGTTAGGGTTCATGGCAGGACACCTCTACACATATGTCGAGTTACAGTTCAAACGTATACAGCGGAGGTACCGAGAACAATAGTTGTTATCCACATACGGCAGATCAACTTCTTTACATTTTGCAACAGGATAATAAACGACCCCATACTGCTAGACACAGCATGACTCTTCCCATCGAATAACGGCCACGAGTTAGAACTCGCTTAGCAGGAGGGTGACGAAGATGTGTAGCTGTGCTCGACGAAAATGATGTCCATACCCATTACTAACATGGACTGTGTGAAAGTTTGGCGTGCATGTGAAATTTCAGTTTGACCCTCGTCATTGTTATCGTTTATAAAGTGTTGCACTAATTATAAATGATGAAAGACTGCTTTTGCCGGACAATTTCAGTGTCAGTAGGGACAAATTCTTTTCTCCATATATAAGAGAAATAATCTCTATTTATTCCGGTAATTCGTTTCTAGTGGATTTCAGTATGTTTTGTATAAGAGAGTTATCTAATAGGTTGATGCCCCGATTATTAACAAACACAAATATCATTTCTTGTTTACATGTTGCTCTGTAGTTGTGATCCGTGAGCAAAAGGAGGCAGCAGCAGCTCCACCGACAACCCTTCACAACATCATTTCCCCTTTTACAACCACCCGCATCGTGGACGATGTCGACATTTTTAACTTTTGGGCGACAGGTACGTGTACACTTGTTCCAGATTCTTCAGCGAATTCGAAGACTCATGACACACAATGTGCCTCCAGGAGTAGAACCATCCACGCATAGTTCAGCAATATATTTTTTTTCTCAGGCTTCTTAATTCTGTAATACTGTCGCCCAAGCCAAACTTTTATTATTCACACAAATTCAGTTCGAAATGATAAAGGACAAAGGAAAAAATGTATAGGGATGATACAATTCTTTTTTGTCCAGCTTATGACTTTACAACATTATTATCTCGTAATTCCTCTGCAAATATGTGTGTTGATGTCCCCACCTCTGTTGTCAGAATACCCCAGTCTGTCGGGCTGGCTGGTTGTTTTGGACACTCGGACAAGGTCCTGTCCGTTGAACCTCTTCCACGAGAACCTCCTGGCCTATATAACCCTCCACCCGGGGTCGTGCGGGGCGGAGAATGACACGTTTGTTTTCCAAGTGCACACGACACCGTTTGACTACCGCGACATCGTGGCAGATGTGGCGAACTACACACATTCCCCGAGTGACTCTGTCGCCTTCTTGTATGATGAATCGGGAAAAGGTATGTACATTCAGTGAAATCACTGTCGCACTTCGTCGTAATAATGGTTCTGTCATATCACCTGAAGTAACTTAATTCCATAAATCCAAATATGTAAACATATTTTCGTCAGAATTAACCAGTGGCTCCTGATTGTGGAATCTGAGAGAGGTTCATTTCGATGAATTAGTATACATATTTGAAAAGATGTAAAAGGAAAATACTTGTAGGTTGTAAAAATACTTGTTGATTTGTATGACAAAATTGTTGACATGCTGATGTTCCGCCAGCGTACGTTGGTACACCTTCCCAACGCCCAAGCTGTAGACGAGGGGATATGGTATCGGCAGCTAATTCTCTGGTTTGGTCTCAAAGTCTCAGTTTCTTACAGAGTACCATGAACAGATCAGTCTGCGCAAAGTCAACCATTTCCTGTTCCACCTCGAGTTGCCCATGCCACATGACAACATACCGGAAGTGCTTGCTAACCTGACTTTGAAAACCGACGTCCGATACGTGTTTCTGATGGGAACATCGGGGTCTATAGAAGATATGCTTAGACACGTCAGTGGGATTTTCTAATTCAGAGCAAAATCAGTTTACAGAAGATAATGACAGAGAATATACATTTTCAATGATCGCTATTCTACAAATCAGTAATATTGTGAAGAGTCCTCCATTCTAATAAACCAGAGTTTTCAGCTCCGGAAATCACACCGCTGTAAAATCAACCGACTTACTAAGATGTTGAACACAACCGTCGCCATACTTACGCCAAGTTCTGCAAGTTATTTAAGTGCTGCATGACTAGTTCTGCTGCTAAGCGAGTACCATGTCTCCCAAGTTTGACGCAGTTAGCATGGTTAGGATTGAGTTTAAATGTTAGGAATACTCAGTATATCATTCTACACGTTTGGGTCTTGAAGATGTTGCATTCAGGTGGTGTATAGATTGTGAGACGATTATTCGTTTTCAAGTGTTGGCCCTAAACGTGTTTAGATAAAACGCTCCAGATGTACATAAGGAAGTCAACACATTCCTGAACACTTTTGGTTTTGTATGTGTTCACATTGTACACATCCCCGTCACACATTGTATAGTGAGGTTGGAGATGTCTTTGTAGGCACATCGGCTGAACATGTTGTCTGGGCGGTACCACTGGCTGCTGCACACCACCGACGGTATCACACCTTGCTGTGACAAGAGCTACGACCACAGCATCCTCGTCATCAAAGACCTCCACAGCACGGTAAGTGTTACCAGCATGCCGTTCCACAGAAACAAGTCATGCTCTACCTTTTGGAGTAATATTAGTCCTAATACTAACTGTTAATGCAGAACACAAAAACTGATACTCTCATCAACAGGGTTTATTGTATTGATATTTAAGGAGTTACAGTTCAAAATAAATGGCTGCTGCAGAGGACTTGATGAATATCATTGCGTTCACTTGAAGAGTAAAGTTGCTGATGAGCTGATGAGGTTCAGAAAACTACAACAAACAATAGCTTTCGATGAAATTCAGAAAATGTACAAATTTCATAGTACATAACATTCAATGTTTCATTCGAATGATATGTGAATACATTGAAATTGCAAAAGTAACAACTTCAAATTTACAAATAATTGTGTGAAATATATTAACAATTGCACAACCAATTAACATTTTGGCATATATACAATTTCATTGTAATTTAGAGATAGTACAACCTAGTATAATAACTTTGACCTTATAGTAACCTTTTTAGGGTTTATATTTGGTCTAGGATAATTATAATACCTAGAATTTGTTGTCGGGGAATTAGCTTGGGACCGCAACACCTTCAAATAACCAAGAGAAGCATCGATTAGTGGCCAGTCTTTATTCGGAGCATTTCATGAGTCAATTATATAAAACATCAGCATTTCAAACTTGGACAATTAATACCTAATATGAAAATCATGTGAATTAATGATTGCATAAACCTTACTGACAATATACCTTACAATAAACAATGACCAAGATTAAACGGAAGTGAGGACACTTCATATTATATTGGAAGCATAATACACATGATGTAGCGCAGCTGAGAAATATGCGTAGAGAATGATGAGGTAACTGTTCAGTAAGACACTTAGTACATGTGCTATCAATTGCTAAAATAATCTTCCATGGAAGTCGCAAATAATAGGCGTTATATAGTTTGGTTACATCCAAACAGAATACAAACTAAGCAGAATAATAAAAATACACAAAATAATATAAATGTTCAGCCTGCTAGCTGAATCATATGACCACATCTGAATATCCAGACTGTTGTGAATTACTAAAGATCATATGCCGAACGGCATGTTATTGAATAAGTATACATATACATACTTTGAAGCTTTACAGTACTGAGAACGTAGCAATATGTGAGCAACAGAATGAAACAACAATTTATATGCGCTCAGTAGTTTTGCGTGTACCATATTGTAACTTCACCTAATATGTACATTGTTTAAAAAACATTGGTTGATGAAAGGTAGCATGGAACATTTGAGTTAAAGACATATGATAATCATTTAGAAATACATTCACTGACATTCACTTTCATTGCAAACACGCAATCAAATATACAACACGTGCGCAAGAATTGCTTTGCTTCCACGAGCCCGATCATATGTAATTGTGATATACTGAACCTATATTATGTCTTAACGTTACTACATGATACTGTAAACTATTTTGATGTAAGATTGTTAGATTTGTTCTACATGGTCTGACACAACTATGATACAGATATTCCTTGTTGTACTTTTTCAATACTGCCTAGATAAATGATGATATTGGCCTAAACTAACAGTATGGAACGTAATAGAAAACAGAGAAAATATGAACATAATTTAAGAACATACAATGAATGAACTGAACATGGCTTTACCTTCAAATAACCAAGAGAAGCATCGATTAGTGGCCAGTCTTTATTCGGAGCATTTCATGAGTGAAATACCCCGAATAAAGGCCGTTATATATACCCCACCGATGCTCTCAGAGTTCGTGATATGGTCGCACGTTCAATGGTCACTTCTTTAAACAATACTTACAAATGCTGCTAATCTTCACTGCTGACTATCTAAATCTTAAGATTACCTCGTAGCTTTGAAAGACGTGAGAGTGCAGAAATGACCAAATTTATCTAACAGTTTTCTCGGAGAGCGTGTTATCATAGAGTAATGTTTACTTCTCTCTCCGGACATGTCGTCTTAACAGTTAGCACATAAGGCTTATCAAGAAAACTTGGGAATGAAGACGAGCGTATATCGATACTGACAGATTATAGACTTGGGCCGGACCATGCATGTAGTCTTAAAGCTTAACACATAATGCTAATTATCTTACAACTTGGAAAAATGAAGATCAACAATAACTGAGACAGCGTTTAGTATTCTCGTTATTGAATAAAATATACAAAATGTGCTGTTTAGTCCTATTTTATAAAGTCACAATTATTTATTTAAGATTGAGGAAAGTATGACGTATTTTAGAACTATGATATACCCCTGGGCGTCGTGGAGCTTTTGTCCTCAAAAGCTTTTATGTTGAGAACAGTATACAATTTTTCAAAATACAATGAAACAAAATAAAGGAATGAATACAAGAAATCCAATCACATCAAATATCAGATATATAAATGATTACACAAGATAATATATACACAATATAATGTATTGCTCAGATGCAATGCCCACACATAAATGTATCTACAACATGTCTGTCTGACCAAGGACCTGATAAAAACTGTTGTGGACTTGAAGAATGTATGCACTAAAAGGTTGTGATAAAATCTTATGGAGTTTACGGGCATTAAGAAAAGATATTCTTATGTTGTTAGGGATAACAAGGGAAGTTGTAGTCAGCTTGTTTGTAATGGTAAATCCTGGCCAATCAACAGAAAGAGTAGGGAAGAAATAACCTGAGATTCGAAGGTTGTCTATACTGTAAGGTGGCTGAATGTTCCAATAAGAAGGGCACAGAGTCAGGGACATGACTGGGACAATAACGCAATCCGGACCTGTGGTCAGTTCTAGCAAGAGACCATTCTGAGAAGCGGAGCGTCGGCGACATAGAAGGAGCAAGACAGAAGCAACAGCTACAGTGAGTAATCCTAAAAGGATGGACACGTGATAGTCAGCCAGATCCCGTAGCACAAAGTCAGATACACCTGTACTAGGAGTAGTTGGAGCGATGTAACTGAGATCTGGAGGCATCACAGCTTTGACAGGGGCAGCCCGGGTGACCAACAAAAGGGCAGCAGTTAGTGAACGAATTTTAAAGAACATCCAAAGGGCGAAAACAAAGGTTATACCAGAGATAGTACTGGCAATAATGGCAATGAGGAAGTTTGTATTCAGCCATGTGGTTTGAACAGCAATTTTTCCATCAAGAAGAGGCTCAGCTATTGTTTGAAAAATAGTTTCATCTCTCTTGGCACTCTCTGCAATATGCTTGAGACTAAGATGGGCCTTATTGTCATTTGCCAAAGTATCAGACATCATGTGTGAATATATTTTAAATTTTGGAATAGAAAAAATTAAGAGCTTTCTGAAACGTTGTATCTCCGGCAATTGTTGAGAGTGCAGATGAATCAAAGAAATGTTGAAGTAAGGCTAGATTGACAGGGGAAAAGTTTAGAGATGTCCCCTAAAGGAATTGTTGCAAGATGAAAAGGCTGCTGGGTAGGAGAATGTTTCAGTTGATAATGAGCAGTAACAAGGAATTTCTAGAACACAAAAGGAACAACCAGTAACCATTCTATGGCTGCCCTTACAAGCAAGCTTCAGAAAGGGGATCCTGTAGACGAGAACATGAGAGTCATCTATCATTAGTATCTTGGAAGGCTGTGGTTTGGTAATGTAACGAAAATCACAGAGAGCCTTCACAGAAGATTTGATGTTTTGAAACAAGGCAAGAGTACACGAAGGCATAGTTGTAGAATGGACTGCAATACGAAAGGGACACTGAAGTAATATGTCATCACCGAGGCAAGAACCTGTCATAGAACTAGAGAGTTCAACATATTGTTGATGGTCTTGTGAAATGGCAATAATATCTGGAATATCTAAAAGTTGTGTAGCATGAGATGAAGTGTCGTTGATGGGTAAGGGCAGAGATATTATTTTGTATAGTTGGTATGGCTTGGTCATAGAAGACAACGGGAATTTTACTGAAATGTAAACATTGGATTTTGCACGGGTAAAGATGAATTTAGCATTAGCATAATAATAATTTGGAGTCGTTTGCAGAATCTTAAAGGTCGGGTACTTTTGGGCAAGAAGATTTGCAATGTGATGTACAGTCTGTTGTAAGATCTCAGGAGGGATTAGGAGTGGTGACAATTTATGCTTGGCTAGATCATGAATACCTAACTTTAGTTCCTCAAGTTGATGTTCTACAACATACGCTTGTTCAATCTGGTCAATTAAAAGTGATGTCAGTGTTACAAGGGAGGACTGAATGGACTTAATATTTTTCTCTAGAGCAAGGGAAGTAAATTGAATAGCGTCATGGTTGGCCTTTACACCTTTCACAGCATTTTTAAAACGAGTATCAACGACTTTCATGAATGATGACATATGGGCAGAGTGTTGTTTGAGGGTATTTGAAAGACTAATGTCATGTTTGGTGAGAGCATTTATGTGTTGAGCAAGTATGTCGACATCATTTGTAGTTGCCGTTCCAAATAATGTCTTAGACAAAGAACCTACAAAACTTAAAATTGCTCTTTTGGAGCGAGAGGAGGTAGAGCGACTGGTTTCAGGAATGAGCTTCATGATTTGTTGACGTGTTGCATTAAGTTGAGTAACACACTTGGTTTTGACAACATTTAAATGCATTTGAAATTGATTGAGGAGTGGACAGATGTTGTCACCCTGGTGACAGCCGCTCATGGTGAGAATACGTGGAACTGGTGGGAGCTTGACTTCGTAGGTGTGGACCCAAAATTCTGTGGCAAAGTGAACTTTGGAAGTTGGCTGGTAGATGATTCCATAATTAAGTCGTTGAATTGGACTTGAACACATGACAGGATGAGCGAAAACAGTCAGTAGCCAAAGCAACACCAGACTCCATGCAGACCCTTAGAGAAACGAAACAATGGAAACCAATAAAACAATGATGACCTGGAGATGCAAAATGTCCTGCAGTAACATATGCAAATCCTAGCACTTATGAAACACAGAAACTATGTAACTGTAGAAGGGTTGGTCAAACATTATCTGAGGAACCAA